TGAGAGGATCTCACTGAGCTGCTTATTATGGCCTCCAATTTACAATCCTCCTACCTCAGCCTTCTCAGTAGCTGGGTTATAGACATGTGTCACTCACTATGTCCAGTTTATTAACAAGGTGATATGCTTTGCTCCCTAACACACTGTCTTTAGAGTACTAAGTAAATATTTAGTAAGCTTACCATATAGCTTACCATATATGGTTATATTTTTAAATAATCTCTTCTGATTCTACATAAATTGTTTATGTGACCCAGAGATCTTTAAAATGTTATATAGGTACTAATTTCTTTAGTGTTTGGGGGTTTTTTGGTTTTGGTTTTGGGTTTTTTTTTTTTTTTTTTTTTTTTTAGACAGGCTCTGTGTAGCTCAGGTTAGCTTTGAACTCATAGTGATCCTCCTGCCTCAGTCTCCTAAGTGCTAGAACTGTAGGTGTACCAACATGCTCAACTGGTGCCAGTATAATAATGAAATTATTGGTGAGGACACTACCAGGTAAAATGCCTGGAGAAAAAGTTTTAGGACTCTGATTTGAGACTTATGATGATGGGTTGAGAATGACTGCTGGGCACATTGGCGTATGTCTATAATTCTAGCACTTGGGAGGCTGAGGTGGGAGGATGACCCAGAGTTTGAGGCCAGCCAGGGTTACAAGTGAGTTCCTGTCTTAAAAGAACAAACAAACAAACAAACAAACAAACAATAGCAGTGACTGTGGGGATGGGGTGGGAGGCTGGTACTTGGGCTTTTAGTTTGGTTTGTTTGTTTTTTGGTTTTTTCTTGAGATATGATCTCACCATATAGCACAGGCTGGCTTTGAACTCACTTATGTAGCCCAGGCTGGCCTCAAACTTGTGGCAATCCTCCACCATGTTGACACTCAGTTTTTATAAAGCCTGAGGCCTGTTCTTTTCAAATTCATGTTGAACCATAGTCATCTCAGACCCTCTCTTATTTTCCCATCTTTTTCCTAAACAACTCTGGGATTACTTCAAGTGTGGTCTCTGTATGAAATTCTTCCATTTTTCTGCTTCCTCTCCTTGAGCCTGCAGAGCACTCCCGTCCAAAGATAATGCCTACAAGGCTTGCTTTTTTCCCAGCCTTTCCCAGTGGACAGTAAACCCAGAGAGTCACTTTGTCAGATCACTTATTCTTCACATTCCGTTAGTCACCCTAGTTACTTGAAGAAGCAGTCCAGGAAAAGCTGATAGGCTTTCCACCTGCCATCGCTCCATCAGTCTCTGCATGGAACCGAGGTGGGGTGTACAAGAGAAAGCAGCTGACGGAACTGCCTGGGGGTGAAGTGCTTTGGGGGCAGCTCTTGACGTGCTGCACCTCTGCTTCTTCACTAAGCAGGTTCCTGGCCCCTGGGCTTTCATTTCTTCTTCGTCATTTTTTCTTTTTTTCTTTTAAGTTTGAGATTTGATAGTAAACCATTTGTAATTGCCTCCCTGTTATTTAGAGATGTTATGCTAAGTTATCTGTGTATTCATTAACCTGTTTATCCTAGCATGTGATTCACATTTTACTCCATATTACTAGACTGTTCAGATCTTTCTTTTTGACCAGGTACTTTTTTGTTAGTCAAAGAGCAGTTACCTGGAGGAACTAAGGGTCAGTCTTCTAAGTACTGTATAGTGAGCTCATGAGCTAGCTTCTGAACTCTGCCAGGTGTTTACCTGGCATATAAAAGACCTGTATACCTTATCTATTCAGAGAGACAGGCAAAGACTAGAACTTTGTTTTTTGAGATAGTTATAAAAATCAGACCACCTGCTCTTTACATGACTGCCTTAGATAAATAATTTGTTAATAGATAAAGAATATCACATGGGACATTCTTTTTTTAATATTAAAGGACATTGATAAGTAGTTCAGGCTGGCCTTATTCTCATTGTGTAGCCGAGGCTACTGTCAAACTCACAGTGAGCCTCCTGCCTCAGTCTCCGAGTCTTGGGATTACAGGTGTGCTCCACTGTGCCCAGTTTAGGACACTCTGCATTTGTTCAAATTTTAGAATTATTTCTCTTAGGATAGCCTATGATACAATAAAAAGATTTCTCTAGCCAGGCATGATGGCACACAACTGTAATCCAACACTCAGGAGGCTGAGGCAGGAGGATCACCAAGTTTGAGGCTAGCCTGGGCTACATACATAGTGATTTCAAGGCCAGTCTAACCTACATAGTGAGACTCTGTCTTAAAAATAAATAAATAAGTAAATATGTTTAAAAACTCAAGGTGCAAAATTACCTATACACAATATTTGTAATTATTCAAAAAGTAAAGAAGAGGGCTGTTGGGGCTGGTGAGATGGCTCAGTGGTCTAAAGCACCTACTTAGAACAAGCTAAGCCAAGCAAAAGCACAGGGACCGCGGTTCAATCCCCCAGCACCACATGCCAGCCAGCCCCGCCCCCTGGTGGGCTGAGCTGGC